GGCAGCGGCGGGAGAGGCAGCGGCGCCGCTCCCGCTCCGCGCCGCAACTTTCGGGCCGACGCCACCCCCTCGCCCTCGACCCTCGCGGGTAAGCGGCGGGACCCGAGTCCGGCGCGGGAGAAGCGGACGGACCCTCACAGGGCGGCCGCAAACTTTGGGAACGCGGGGAAGGGGCGCGTCGTGCGGGCAGGTGCGGGCGGGCCGGGGCTGAAGCGACTGCGGGAAGCAGCTATCGAGGACCCCGGTGCGGTGCGGTGCGGTGCGGAGGCAGCAGGACGCGGCGCGGGGCAGCGGCGCGGGGGTGGCTGTGCGTTCGGGCCGGGGGAGCAAGTTGTGGTGCGGGGGTATGGTGTGGTATGGGGAGCGGGTGGCAATGGCATGCGGTTCCTTCCGGGATTTAGTGGGGAGTAGGGGGGTCTTTGGGTTTGGTTTTTATTTTTGCCTTTTTTTTTTCTTTTTTTTTTTTTTTTTAAATAATAGGGCACAGAGGAAAACGGTAGCACACGATGCTGAGATCGGTGGTGTGGTGGCTGAGGCAGGTACCCGAGGAGCAGCAGGCACTGGAGCAGCTTCGGTGATAGCAAGAGGTTCCCGTGCCTTTGCGAGGAAGGTCACTTTTGACACCCCCTACCCCCCACCCCCCCCCCCCCCCCATTTTTTTGCTAAGCCGTGCATCAGCAGCGTGGATTCCAAGAAGCAGTAGGTGTTTCTTGGCATTTTCACTGGGATTTTGGAAAGGGAAGCCGGGTAGTTAATGGGAAAAGATTGCGCCGGAGCACGGGGATGCGGAGGCTGCATACAGCCCTGGGTTTGCAGACGTGGGGAAGTTGTCGAGATGGGGAAAGGGTCGGAAGCGGCACATGGAAAATGGTGACTATGCCTTCTGTGATGAACGAATGGAAAGCAAAAGTGGGCCACCAAGAATTTTCCCTGTTTTGCAGTTTGCTGTCAGCAGAAGGTAAAGCATGTCCTTGCCAGTGTAGAATTTTACATAAACAGCTGATGTTTACATAAGCCTCCATAAGTTTGTGAGAAACACAGGGAGCAGAAGACATGGTGTTGGCTGAGCCCGGCCGTCCTGCTGCTCCGACCTGTGATAATTTCTCCTTTTTGCATTGTTGCAGAGTGAGACCAAAGTGAGCAGCTGCACCTTCCCCCAAGCAACCACCTGCGTTACGCATCTCCTCTGGAATGGACAATGGAACGGTTTCTGGCTTTATCATGATCAAAAACTTCTTCCTCTTCTGCGTCTCCATGAGTTTAGCTGGCCGCTTCGGGTAAGTTGCCAATTACGTTTGGATTTTTGCTGTGGCTTTTGGAAGGAAATGAAAAGCTTTGGCTCCATGCGGTGTGGAGCAGCAGAACAAAACAAGCAAGCTTTGCGTTTGATCTGAACGTTGTGGTGTTGCGAGAAGAGGGGTGGGTTGCTTTCCTGCTCCACCTCAGCATCTCATACTGCTTCTGTAGGAGGGCTTCTGTAGGGGGGGACGTGGAGAGCTTGGACAGGGCCTGGGTGATCTGAGCAGGGCACAGCACAGGCAGTGCTGCACAGCAGGACACAGGGTGTGCTCTTGGCTGGGTCACACTCCAGCACTGGGACAGCTCGGAGGGACAGCTGAGTTGGAAACTTGCTGAGATAACCAGAAATTGCACTTCTCAGAAGCGTGTAACAAGGAATTCCGTTTCCTGATTTTGCTGTAGATGCTGTCTTGACGGTGACATTCAGAAATACTATTGTGAAATACTCCTACGATTGTTCTTCAATAAACAGAAAAGCAGAAACCCCCTAGCTATCCATTTCCCCTAAACCTAGAGATCCTATGGACTTCTCAAAATAAGAATGTGCCACTGAGAAGCATTTAGCAAGTGCCCTGGAAACGTAGGTTGATTCTTTTTTTTTTTTTTTTTTTTTTTTGTGGAGGAGAACAATTATTTATGATTTCACTAGAAGAAAGAAATGAATCCTCCCCGTGTGCTGATTCACAAGCATGCCCATCAGTGCCTTGCTAGAAGAAGGTACAAAATGGAGATGCAAATCAGCTTCTGGTTTCAATTAAAATGTTTTTTTTCCAGATTGGAACTGGAAGAAAGACCAGAATTTGAAAGATGTCTGTCTGTACTGTAAACAGGACTGAGCCCTCTCTTCAGTGTATGCCTTGTGCAGTCCTACAGTGAGCACGGTGCCGTGTCTGAGCAGCTGCAGACCTGCACACCGCAGGGAGGGCAAAGAGCTGCAGTCCACTGTGGGCATCTTGGAATAGCTGGAGTCTGCTTTCACTGCAGCCTAGGGCAAAACTCCCACTGGGCTTTCTAGTAGAAATGGAGAGGACTAAGATGGTTGTCCCTTGTCTTGGCATGGCAGGGATTTAACAAAGTATTCTCACATTGAGAAAACTATGGGTTGTAACCCTTCCTGACCTTCCTTCATCCCAGCAGAAGGTTTCAACTGCAGTAGTTTGGCAAGACATTTTTGGTGCGGGGTTTGTCTACCTTGTAACTGCATTACTCCTCTAAGAGAAGAACAGATATGCAGTACTGCAGAACAAAGGGCCTAACTCTCCCTTTCAACTTCAGGTAAACACTGAATCCCAGTCCTAAGTAGGTATCCTCACGGCCCATAACCTGCCAGAGGACAGCTAGAGGAATCTAGGACATTTGTTTTTGTGAGTTATCCAAAAGCTGCTGTGCACTAAAATGAGATCATCACGTAACTGCCCTCCCACCCCCCAATTTCTGATCTCGTAATTTTAGTCAGGGCCTGCAGAGATAAGCAGCTCCAATTGACTGCACCACTCACACGCTGCCTTAGGGCTGAATTTTGACCCTGCTCAAAAGACAGAGGATGCTCCAGCGCTTCTGTTTCGGAGGCAGAAGCAGTTTCAGAGTGTAATTTGCTAAGTGCTTTGGGACTGACTCTTCAGGACAGAGCGGTACAATTTGCATGTAGGCTGCTTTATTAACTGCTACGATCCAGAATCTAATACTGATAATACTTGCTGTTGCTATCAGATTATTTTTTATTAGCTTCATCCACGTTTGAATTGCCCTGCTACATTTCAGTGCTTTCAGCAGTGTGCTAAACAAAAGTGATTGGTCAAATGGCCACAAATTAGACACAAAATACAGTAGGGCATTAGAGATGAGGGCAGAGATTTGTTTACAGTTCTCTGTAGTCATTCCATGATTATATTAAATCATAAATACAGTGTTTGCTGACATAGCCAAAGCCACCTTTGGGGATTCTGATGCACGATGCCTGGTAAAATAAATAGGAATTATGTATCTCAGTCTCCTAGGCTACTTCAGAAATCTCAGCAAAAGTCTGTGATTAACGGTTAACATAAATGTGGAATGACTACTGAGTGCTATCCCCATCAGTAGGCTGTAGAGAAAGAAAGACTGTAGGCATTGTTGTAAAAGTTATTTAAAGAAAAGTCACTGAATCAAACTTTCAAGACATAGGTTAAAGGAGAAGAGTATGCGACCCCCCCTATTCTTGTTGCCTAACAATTTTATGAGCCCACTCTGCGTAACGAGTCCAGCACAGGTTGAGGCTTTTTCAGGCTTCTGTGATTTCAGCCTGGAGTTGCATAATGTTGTGAGGAGCTAAGATACGCTACTGAAGTATTTCAAGATAGTTGTCTTGAAGGTGAATATTTGGAATAGAGTAGACCAGACTAAACTAGAATACAATAGAATAGCTCAGATGGAAAGGACCTACAAAGATCATCAAGTCCCACTGCCTGACCAGGGCTAACCAAAAGTTAAAGCATATAGCACTTAGGCAGTAATTTGAATCGTTAGAAATAAATCATAATTGTGAAGAATGTTTTCAGATGAGATGAGAATCTGATTTCTTCCATCTGTTTGACATGAAGGGTTGCATTGAATTCAGTCGTGTTTCATGTCTGCAAGGTAGGATCATACTGCCAATAGCAAGCAGGAGGTGGGTGCTCTCCTGCCATCACGTCGGAGGAAAAACAGAATATTTGGATTTGAGTTTCTGCAAGATTAACGTGGTGATGTGGTGATCCGTGGTGAGGCAGAGCACCTTGGGTTGAGCACCCCATGGGTAGGATCCTGTCCTGGCAGAGGGGTGCAGTGGCACTGCTGAGCACCCTGCCTTGTGTGGGCTGTCAGGATAGGTGACTGCTGTGGATGAGCAGGAAGATGTCCCACATGCCTGGCCCTGTGCCAGCCCTCCCTGCTGCACACTGGCTCTTCGTTGCCAGCCTCAGGCTGCCCATGGACATCCCTCTTGACGTGCTGGCAGCACGCGCTCCCTGCGCATACTTGCATTTTGTCATGCAGTTTCAGGAATCTGTCCGAGAGCTGAACCAGCAGGGACGGATGTTGTTGGTGTAACCACAGATCAGCTACCATCTGCTAATAATATTTGCAATTGTAGAAACATGGGAAGCAGAAGATTGCAATTAAACGTAGCTGTAGCCAACGCAACACGTCTCTGCTCGTGGTGAGACTCTTGCTGTGGCAGCTTGGTGGTTTCACATACTTTCCCATTATTCACTGCCCTTATCACTGAGAACATAATCCTACTATTTAGGCTAAGCATACCTCCCCTTCAGCTCGTGGCATTTACTTCACACTGGTCTCTGCAGCACTGAGCAGCTAGTTCTGCTGGTTTACGCTTGCTGAGTAGTCACAGATGCTAGGGAGCTCTTCCTCATATTTTTAAGACTAATTTTCTGTAAATTATCATATGCTTACATGGTTGTGCTCATCCATTTATGTTTTGTATCCTGTTTTTTCTTTCTTCAGTGGCTCCAGATAACTTTATGAACCCATCAGCCCAATTCAACAAATGGAAAAACGGGTTTGCTAGAAATGCTGAGAGAAGGCAGGTGGAGGTTCACCCTTCTGCCCAGCAGAAAGCTGCCCGTGAGCCTACATTTTGGCAGCCTGGAAGCGCAGGGGGTGTTGGGAGGTGCTGAAATGGATGTTAAGGTGCAAGGGGGTGAAGGTGATAAAATGTTACCCCATGGGAAACAGGCTTTCATCGCAATGCTCACAGAAGGCTTGTACTTAGAAGGTTGTGAAGTACAGCTCTTGGTGAATAAAAAAACGTCATTATTCTTAAAGAATCTCTAGGGACCATTGAAGTTTCATTATTTTCAGTCAGTCCTCTCCCATATTCTGATGTTTTGTGGAAGAACTGAGGTTTTGGTGCACAAATTCACAAAACAATATTGGCATTTTCAGATCTCAAGAATCGGTGACAAAGGGATGGTGAGATGCTCACTTAGAGAAATGAATCTATTTCCTTTGATATCTGGCCAGCTGACAGTATCCAGAAGTGTGCAAATGGATTCTCCACCATCTTCTACATAAACTGCTGATTTGTCTTGAGGCCTGGTATAATTCCTAATCCTATTGAAGCAAGTTCTTGTAAACTTTATTCTTAGAGAGAAAAAATGCAGCTTTCAATTGCAAAGTACTCCTCAGTTATTTCTTTAGTGTCTCTCACTTAAAAAAAAAAATGTTTTGGGAAAATTGTGAAGTGTCTGTAGTCTGTTTTCCTCTTATTACAACAGAACTATGAATAGAACATGACACGATTTTGACTAGATGGCAAAAAAGGGAATGATTAAAATGGTAAGCGATGAACTCATCAGAAGAGGTAGCTGAGCATTTTTAGAGAGTTAGTGGATTTTACTCTGATGGCTCTTTCTGTAGGTCTGATGGCTCTTTCTGTAGCATATGGTTTTTTCAGTCACCCTGAAACTGCAATATTAAATAAATGTAATGAGAAGTATTCCTGGTTGTTTTAGTTTATGTTCAATACCGAGCTTTAAATTTAATTATCTTTGAATTTTCTTAGCATCTTCGAAGGTTCTTTCCTAGGTTTATTTTTACTCCGTAACTGAAAACATTCCCTTAAAAACATTTTTGGTTGCAACAAGAAGATAATGTGCTTAGCTACCAATTTTTTTGATAAAACCTAGTCTTCATGCATGTGGAAATAATTGGTTTAAGATATCGCCTGTGTTCTCACTACTCGTAGAGCTACAGTATCTAATATAAAACAACGTATGTAACTTTGCCAGTACAGTCTTAAAGCTCTTACGTTGGAAAAGGCAACTTCAGCATTTACACCGAAATGAGAATTGCTATTTTATAAGCAATCTCAGGAATACACACAAAATGCTAACTTTTCTGTGAAATAAAAAGCAACATTTGCATTAATAGCAAACAGTAATCCATCTACAGACAGAACTTCACACAATACTGACATTTCTCTGAAAGTCAGCATCAGATGCCGTCTTTTTCGGGTAAAGTGATCTGCCAAATCTAAATTGGATTGCTGTTTTGCAGATGAAGTGCTGACTTTTTATGAGTCTTCATCCTAGTCACTTCCCCAGCTTTTTTTATCTATTAATTAGATTTTTCTGTGAACTATACAAAACTATACACATATTTCAGTACTTAGGGTGTGTATAGTGTTGTGGTGAAATGTCTATAGCCAAGACAGAACAAAGCACCATCAATTACTTGTATTATTGGAGAGGTTATGAGAGCTAGTTGTATTTTGTCCCATCCCTACGAAAATAGTTCAATGGAAATCTTCTCTCTGAGCTGAATTGGTGTTGAATTCAGATGTGAGCACTAAAAATAACAAGCTTTTTCAAGAGCAGAGAAACTAGTGAAGCTTTGTATGCTACGTGCCTGGCACTGTACCTTTACAATAATCCCTGCTCCTTATTTGCCATCCCTTGTTCCCATCGCCCATTGCACCACCTGTCTTTTACCTCTGCAGTCCATTTCTCCCTGTATCTTTCCTAATTGCCTGCAAATCTCCTCTGTATCTCTTAATTAGCAGAGAGGAGGTGGGCTGATTTTGCTGAGGCTGTTTTTGAGCTACATACGTGCTGACTGGCCCAGTCAGCAAGCCAGAGGGAATAGATGGCTGCTGACCTCCCATTTTTACTTAATGAGGCATTAATTTAGATCGCTCTCCCCTTGTCTAGTCACTGCTTCTCGTGAAACTTGTGGAAATGAAATGAAGTTTGATCTCTCTGCCTCTCTGTCACGTACATTGGAAAGTGGGAATGGATTCCTACGTTGATGCGGTGGAACAGGCAGACAGCATGATGCATGTCTCTTTCTCTTGAGAAAAAGGCTAAAAAGAAATGAGAAAAGTTTTAAATAGTGCTTTTACCAAAGCATTAATTATGATAGCTGAAGAATCTGTGATAATTTCATCTCCTGTCCTTTTTTGTTAGACTGTCACTTGTAACACTCAGTAGTGAGCTCATTCGATTATGATTGACAAACAGTATAGTATTTGTCTTGAATGGCTTGGCATATCAGGCAGGATGTCTAATGTCTCTTTAATCATAGAATCATTAAGGTTGAGAAAGACCATTAAGATCATCTACTCCAACCATCAACATCCCTACCATTCCCACTGACCAAGTCCCTCAGTGCCACATCCACACGGTTCTTGAACACCTCCCGGAACAGAGACCATCACCTCCCTGTGCCACTGCCTCACCGCTCTTTCTGAGAATAAATTTTTCCTTAATAGCCAGCCTGAACTTCCCCTGCTGCAACTTAAAGCCATTTCCTCAGTGCCAACATCCCCTGTGCTATGAGGATCACTTCAGGTCAAGTGTTTCCTCATGATTTGGTGTTTTTAGAAATCATACTAGCTCCTTGCTCCCCTTTCCTGAGAGGCTTTGCAATCCTTTCTTTTTTCAGCAGAAGCACACAAGATATACTGGGGGACAGATGCACGACTGGGTCTGACTGGGAGGGGCTATGTGACCACCAGCATGAGGCAGACCTTGTGTCCCCAAACAGTCTGCACCAAGAGTGACGTACATGGGTGTCAGCAAGGTCCTGTTAGTGTAAGCCTCGTGAAGGGAAAACCAGGTTGAAGTCCTTTATTTTTCTTCTTATAAATCCAGTTTTGCTAGGTAAGTATAGTGCATATTTTACAAATGTTCTGCAAGGCAGTGTATTCAGAGGAGTGCTTTGAGACTCTCTACTTAATTATAGATTTATTTCCCTGCTGACTATTAGTAAATAAACACAGATTTTATTTATTTTGTAAACTCTGGGTCACTCGGTCACAATGAGTTCAGATTGAGTGTAAGTGATCTCTGTCCCTTGACAGGGTGCTTAAGATGGTGTGTGGTTATCAGCAGAGTGATGTGCCCTTCGTAGCAGATGAAACATTTGTTGGCAATTTCAGTAGAGACTTAAACTTGAATCAAACACTGAGTCTGAGCAAGCTTTCCATCTGAAGCGCTCATTGCTTGCTGCAGGTGAAGTATTTTTATTGATAAACTTGAGGTAAGCAAAACCATTAGTAACCACAGGATTCTCTTGAATGAAAATAAAATGGTGCTAGAAGTGCAAGTTCCAGTTGTGCTGTGGGAATCCTTCTAGGTGCTTTTCTGTAAGCCAGCTTCAGATCTGAGCCATGGACACCTGAGCAGACAAGTTATGAATTAAACATGGTAATATTTTTCTGGCTTGAAGGTCAATATCTGAAACACTTCTTTCTGTAACTCACTGAAATAAAGAATTCAGATCAAGAGCAGAAGAAAACAAACCTGGCCGAAACCTTATGGAATGAGGCCCACTACATGCTGTTATTATTTGCGTACTACAAGGAGGGAAACTAATTAATGTAGAGGAGAGATGAGGAATGAAGAACTGTGGGTTTCATTCTGCAGTATTCCTTTCAGGAAAAAACAAGGAGCAGGTGAAATGAGAGGGGAGGCAGGCTCTTATCATGAAGTTTCCACAAGTCTGACGCCCCATGCTGCTAACAGCTTTTGATGAGTCTCTTTTCTTTCGCATGAAACAGCTTATCTCAAACGCCGACAGCACCAGGAAAAGAGGACACCAATGATAACATTACCATCTTCACCAGGATCTTGGATGGCCTGTTGGATGGCTACGACAACCGGCTGCGCCCAGGACTAGGAGGTAGCAGAGCTGGGTGGCTGTGGCAGTGAACGTGCAAGCGGTGGTCACTGACCCCTTGCCACCCTCCCACAGAATCACAGAATCATGGAATCATTGAGGTTGGAAAAGACCTCTTAAATCATCTAGTCAACTATCCCTGTGCCAACCGTATTGCCCACAAAACTATGTCTCTAAGCAGGGCACCTGCTATCAGCAGAGCCTTGATCAGAGGGATGGGTTTCATTAACCAAACAGGGCCCAGAAAGTAGACTTGTCTTTGGACAGGCAGAGCTCTGTGCAAGAATAACTGAAGGCTTTTTCTGTTGGTCGTGTGAATCATTTAAGTTGAGTGAGGAGAGCATGTGTGATGCCTGCTTTCTGCAACTGAATACAGTTTGGATTTCTTTTCTCTCTCTTTTAAGGTGAGCGAGACAGGGTGCTATCAGGTTGCTGCAGGGTTCCCTAGCTGGTCAGCATGTATAAAATTATGCCAGTGACAAGAACCTCTGTTAAAAACAGAACCCCAGACCTCCTGTATTTAGACAGCTACAGCAAAGCTCTATTGATACATCATTTCAATAACCTCTACAGCAGCTATTTTAAAGCTGTAACATGTGAGTAGTTACTTGCCATCCTAACCCTGTTGAGCCCTCTCTCAGCTCTCTTTCCTCCAGATTTCTCTCATCTTCTACTCATGTGTAAACCATCTGTTATGTTTCTTCCTCGCCCTTTTTTAATCCAACTACCCCCACCCCTTCCTCTTATGAGACCAACACATTGCTTTCATTCCTTTCTCTCCTTTTCCTCTCACTTTACACGGAGATGCTTGAAAATAGGGCTCAGTGCTCCCATCTTATGTAATGAACTTCTGAAATTTCTAGGAAGCTATGCCTATAGTTCTCTAGGTCTCCCTTTGGGCCTCTGCCCTGCGAACTCTTAGGCTGTCTCTTGGCATTCCTCTAGCAGCATGCTTGGCCTCGGAGTCTAAAGATTTCTTTGTCAGCTTTGTGACCAATATGCCTTTTGGCCTTTAGTTCAGGCCTCCCTCTAGATCTCTAAGGTTCTATACCAGCCTCTAAGTGTTTTGGCCTCGAAGCCTCAAGGCGCTCCTCTGGGCTTCAGGCTTGAGTCTTGAAAATCTGGGCAGTAGAACTAATTCCACCTAACTTTGAACAACTGTAGTGCAGATGTCTGCCATCAAGCAAACCAGCCCGGTAACTGGAGGGAAACAGGCCTTTCCAAGGCATACTTACCCTATGGCCAGTGGTGAAAGTGAGGTCAGGGGAACTACAACTTTGAAGGGCCCGTTTCATTCCAGTGATCATAGGGAAAGAGCCTGGGCTCTCAACGGTTGATATTTGCATTTGATCAGGGATGAAATGTCTCTTTAAACATTTTGTTAATTTCAAGCTTTTGGGGATTTTGGAGTGATTCAGAAGTTGTTAAAAGAGAAATGTATCAGAAGCACGAACTGCATCTTAAAGCAATTACTGACTCAGAGTCTATATTTGTTGCAGAGAGAATAACTCAGGTGAAAACAGACATCTATGTTACCAGTTTTGGCCCGGTGTCAGACACAGAGATGGTAAGTTCTAGCACATGGCTTCCGACTCACTTGTATTTACTGACCCTGTGGTAACCTGCTTGTTTTTTTGTGCAAGGAATACACCATAGATGTGTTTTTCCGACAAAGCTGGAAGGACGAAAGGCTTCGATTCAAAGGACCTATGCAGCGTCTCCCTCTCAACAACCTGCTTGCCAGCAAAATCTGGACGCCAGACACTTTTTTCCACAACGGCAAGAAGTCTATTGCTCACAACATGACGACACCAAACAAACTTCTGCGCCTTGAGGATGATGGCACTCTGCTGTACACAATGAGGTAACACCCTGGATTCACTTATTCTTAAGCAGTTTCCCAGGTAGATCTGCAAATTCAGGAGGGAAGCGTGGCACTTACCCCACCCACAGCAGAGCCATGCAACCAGTCATTCACAGATATTAATATGAATATCAAGAAAAGAGGAAAACGTAATCACTGCCTACAAGTACCAATTAATTTGTAGCTTCTGAATACTGCTGGTGCTTAGATATTTCCTTTGATTAAGTGAAAAACATACTCTCAACAGATTCGATGATTCTGTTCATCTTTTTTAGTGCAGATCTGTTCCCTCTTACTGTTTGTGTTTGTAGCTGCAGTGTTAATTGCAGAACTGTCCCAAAGGCCACACAGACTGGCATCTTGTTCTGGGGCACTACAGTTTGAACCCTTGAAGCTTTTGTTATTACTTTCTCTATTTCACTAATTGTTCTAAAAGGCAAATCATCACAGGGATAAATGAAGTATGCTAGAAGCGCTGAGGAGCTGTTTTAGCAAGTATTTTCCTGAAAACAAAGCTGGCAGTACACTGTCAGAGGACAAATTTGCATCTGAGTTCTTCAGGGTTCTTCAGGTTGACTAGAGGATACTGTCAGGCTTCATCATTGCATAACCTAGATATTATATATAATATCAGTGACATTAGAGGATTGTCTGAAGTTCTTCTCAGGCCAAATCCCATGTCAGTATATGGCGATTTGCTCATTAAAAGTAATTAGGCTGTAGTAATTAAGATTTCCACGTATCTTCAGCAAAGTCTTCTCTGAGAGTGTAGTCATATAGAGAACACTTGAAAAGAGATGAAAGAAAAAACCTACTACTCTAAGCTTGTCTGATAGGAGTCTGTAGTCTCATAGGAGCACGAGTCCCGTCAGAGTGTCTGGGGAGCTGGCATTAGGTCCTGGGGTGCCTAGAAATGAGGATTTTGAGAACTTGCCCCCCAGTGAAGGTAAGCACTCCTATCCTGGCTGTGGGGCTGGCTGTTTAGGGCTAGTAGAGTTTTGGGGGGCTTTAAGTGGTTAATGTTTGTTTGGTTCAGGAATTACATTTCTGTATGGAGGCACCTAAATGTTCTTAAGGTTTATTTCAGATGTTTTGGTCCTGATTATTTACTCATTTGTTATTTGACCCTATTGTTAAATCCCTTCCCTTGAATGGAACAGAGGAAAAGAGATACAGGAGATGTAAGGTATCCTTAAGTACATCCTTACAGCTTTAGATAATCACATTTGTAAAACTGCTCAACTGCTGAAAAAGCTAAGAGGTGATACAGGTCGTGTTAAAAAGGAAAAAAGAGCTCACTTTCTCTTCTGCTATACATATTGCTGTTTTTTCTCATGGTTTTTGCTGAATTAGTGATCGCTGCAATAGAATCGTAGGACCACTAAGGTTGGAAAAGACCTCTCAGATCATCTAGTCCAACCATCAGCCCACCCCCACCATGCCCACTGACCACGTCCCTCAGTGCCACATCCACACGGTTCTTCAACACCTTCAGGGATGGTGACTGCACCACCTCCCTGTGCAGCCTGTGCCACTGCCTCACTGCTCTTTTTGAGAAGAAATTCTCCCTAATATCCAACCTGAACCTCCCCTGGCACAAGTTGAGGCCATTACTTCTTTTCCTATCGCTGTTACCTGGGAGAAGAACCAATCCCCACCTTGCCACAACCGCCTTTCAGGTCACTGTTGAGATCAATAAACTCCTGAATCTACATGAGGATATGCATACATGTTTAGATTAATGAAAGTCAAAATAACTATAAGAGAAACCTGTTTCAAAAAAAAAGTTGGTAACTCTTGCCTTAAAAGCAGCCCCACTGCAGCCAGGGCTGCCTTTGTGCACCCCCAAAGACTGCCACTGATGCGTTTCCTGATGATTTTTAAGCAAGTAACAGAGACACCTAAAGAAACAGAACAAGACCTGAGCAAGCTGCCGTTGCCTCTCAGCTGCTCTGTGGAAGTAGCTCTGTCAGGGAGTGGTAAAACCAGGGCCATAGGCTGTGTGTGTACCAGAGAGAAGGCTGCCCTGCTCCAGCAACGTTTGGACTTGGTTCAGATGTTTTTGTTGTCCTGCTACATGTCTTTACCAGGCAACCTCGTTTTATTGGCTCATAACCCAAGAAGCAGCAGCAGAGATGAGGAGGGCTCAGGCAGCCTTACCCTCCCTTCTATGAAGAGCCTGGCGATGTGTGTCACTGACACTCTCAAAATGTTAGGTTAGGGCTTCTTGGGATTTGTGTTTTTTGTAGGCTACAGGAAGATGCAGAATACTTCTGTAGCCTAAAAAACATGAGACAATTTTATTTTTTTTCTTTTTGTGTAGAGTATTCAGTGTGGGTGTGCATGTGTATGGAAATAAATTCCAACTAACCATGCTGTATGTGATAAGAAATGGAGCGCAAAGCTTTTTAAATAGCTTCCCTTCCACTATTGCAAGTAATAACTTTTTAAAAATAAAAGAGTGTACATTCTATTCTGTTCAAACTCACGCTGGGAGGCTGCTGTGATGAGATGTGGGGAGCTGTGCTGCCTTCAGGATCACGGTCTGTCTTGGTGGGCAGTTCATCAGCAGTAGTGGTGCTGTGCCAGGAGGCAGTGGAAGAGCCTGACCTGACTGTGCAGCATGGCTGTGACCTGTGCTTACCCCTCAAGCAGATCTTGACAGAGATATGGCTGCGCAGTGCTGCCAGAATGGCATTTCTTGAGAAATTAGAATGCGGGACTCAGGGCTTTTTGTCTTAGCAGCAGTGCGCTGGTGGAGGATGCTGGACCTCAGCTGGGGCATGAGCCTTGTGTTCTGCAGGTCCCACCCCACTCACTTGGCTCACAGGATCTGGAGATGTGGAGACAGCCCTCCCTTAGCTCTTCATCCCCCTCATTTCCAAGGAGGAATTGTGAGCTTCCCAGACTGTACGTAGGAGTAATCTGTGCCGGGAGGATTGGACCCTCTGTCATTGACAAAGATGCCTGAATTGCTTTTGCAACCTCGCATCTGGCTGCCTGAATGAAGAGGAGGAGAGCAGCTGAGCCAACGTTGACCCTCCTCTTATTTGACTTCCAAATATACGAGTTTGATCAGCTGAGCAAACTTCCAGCTCTAGCACTTGGCAGTACATATATTTTCATGATAAATGTGTTTACTTATAAAGAGAACTGAATTTTTTGCATGTTGCATTCCATGATTTGTAGTCTAGGTCAGGAATTGGTAGGATATATTTTGCTGTAGAACCGCAATAAATATGCTTCTGTAACGTACAGTTTTAAAACTTTTCTGCCTGAACATTAGAACACAATGTGCTCTTTAGATAGATTTCATAAACAGCAATATTATCTGTGGGGAATAGCTTAATAGTTCTGATTGTCTTTGATTTTGGTAGGCCTTATCTCTTCTATTTTGTTGGTTTACAAATGATACGACACTGAATTGAGTGTTGCAAATTCTTTCTCTGCCCCTAGAGGGGAGTGTTGTCTGCAGCTCCATTTTCAATTATCTATTCCGTAAGAGCGCTGTGGTAAAGGGTCGGTATTTCACTCATCTGTATAGAAAATGGCTTTGTGAAAGCAGGCAAAAATTTTATTCTTCTGTCCCTTCAAATGCTTGAAAAATATTTAGATTATCTGAGTCGGGAAATAAATGCTATTAAAAGCATAAAGCTCATTTGTTCCTTAAAACTACTCTGTTTCAAGGACAATGGTTTAAGCAGACCTTTCAAGCTAAGAGAATTCAACTGTCTCAGTGAGCAGCTTTTCTGTACTCAATGGGGGATGACTGTAGAAATTTCAGCTTTGATAAACTTTGCTGTAGAACACTGGAAGAATGCCTTTTTTTTTTTTTTTTTTTGGCCAGAAATTGTGTGGAGCAGATGATGTTTGCCTTTGGAGCGTAACTGAGCTTTTGGCCAGCAGTTGATAGACAACTGAACTTGATTTTTTTTCAGCTTTTAGATGCTGAACATTCTTTTAATCTCATGATAAGGTCTAAACTCCTTGGAGCCCAATTCTTACCTTCAGTTTGAATGGAACCAGGCCACCTTTGCTACCTCTAGGTATCTAAACATCTGCCATAATTTGGAATTTTAACTGTCACATGGTCGTGTGTGTGATGTATATGCAAATAGATTTCCTCGTTATTATTACAACAATTGAAGGCTGCCAGAGATTCTAGCTGTGGTTACATTTATATCATGGAATTATGGAATCACAGAATAGCTTGGATTGAGGGGGACTTTAAAATCCACTTGGCTCCAACCCCTGCCCTGGGCTGGGGTTGGTCCCACCCAACTCAGGCTGCCCAGGTCAGCCTGGCCTTGAGTGCTTCCAGGAGTATGTTGCATTAAGCAGCATCTGCATAATTTACTGGCTTGAGACTGCAGACATTTGTCTGTACGGTTAAGAAACTACCAAAATCTTTTGTATGGCTCCAAAATTCATTTATTTTTACTGTTTGTGGAAGTCATTTAAAATTCAGTGTTGTGTAGATAGGCCATCCGCTTGATGGCAGCATCAGCATGCTGCTGGGCATTCTGAGTGGATGCATAGTTTGCCTAGCTGGAATTGCTAGTTCCTGTGTTAACACTCAGCATTAAAATTGCATGTGCAAGTTTACACGTGTTCTGGATGCGTTAGCACACAGTCTGCTCTTCTATGAAACATTTCCATAGCAAGCTGGTAATTTCATACTGTAGATCTCTTGACTATAACATCAACTAACGGGAGATGCAGTGCTGTTTTCAAGGCTTCCATTAGGAAAGTCAGGTTTTGTTTGCTTGTTTTGATTTTTTATTTTTAGGGAAAAATAGTTATGTGAGAAATATGTGGGTTTGCAAGCACTGGTGGTGCCAGAAAGTGCCCTTTCCCAGATGGAGATTTGCTTGCATGGCCCTGAGTGAGCAGTGACCAAAAAAATCTATACTTTAAAAAGAGATGTTAATCTTCAGTCAGCCTTCTAGATGAGAACATTTCTGTTCAAATTGTGCGTGTTGTTCTTACTTCAGAAGGAA